CATGTTAAGTATCTAATTATAAGTATCGGAACGGGTATTAATATTTTGGAATATTTCTTGATGGCAAAAATATTTTTTTCAAATCTAACATGTGAAGTAACTAATTTTAAGTTTTTTTTTTTTGCTTACTTGGAAAAAGTAGTGAGGTTTGTTCGTTATTTCTGGAACTAAGTTTCAATTGTGAGACATATTAATGGTAACAGTCATTGTTTCTCCCAAATCGTACTATGTTCTTTTGTGAACGCAAGATGTTCAAAACCAGAAAACAGACATGTTGTTTGTTCTCTGGTCATTCACTCATTCCTTTTTTTTGAATCTTTATTTAAATTCAGCCCTATTTTTGTCTTGATCTTATTTACTAATTCTCAATTTTATAACTTAGGAGTCAAGGTTGAGATTAGACACTAAAGTGTCGTTTCGAAGTTTACTGCTTTTCATAATGCAGAAAACTGCGCGAGAAGTTGAGTGGGAAAGAAAGAAGGATAGGAAATTCTGAGGTGGATGGATGGGCTTGACTACCGCATTTTCTCATTTCTGGCTGAAAGCATGCATCGAGTACTGCTGCATTACTTGACGACAAAAATTTGATCATGGGATAAAATTTGGTGGAAGAACTACTTACAGATCTGAAAGAATACATTATGTAATAATAGAACTACTTACAGATCTGAAAGAATACATTATGTAAAAGTTATATATCAGTTTAGCATGACTAAAAATAGTAGCAGTTCTCTTGTTTCTGCGAAGTTCATAAATGAACTCCGCATTTAGCAGTGGTTTTGGACTTAGGTATAACTATGGCCGATGCTTCTTTCTAGGTTCTCAATGGTTGAAATATATACAGTCTTTATTTTGTTAATTTATTATTTTCGCATGTTAGAGGAAATAATGATGAATAGGGGAGAATTACGAATATGGAGTAAAGTTATGCTTGAATGGAGTAGGAGGATGAAGCAGATGCACCCTCGAGCATTGCTTATTAATTAGTAATAATTGTTTGAGTGACCGCAAACTGTAACTCCGATTCGCACCTGTCACAGCAAGTAACAGCATCATTGCTAAGCAGTTAAGCGAAGGACAAAGGTCAGCAGATCTCCGGGGAAAAGGGAAAGGGGGCGGAGGAGTTTTAGTAGTTGGACATTACCGACATGTACATATGGCATGCATCGAGTCATCATCATCCATCCATCGGTTGGTCCGTCCGTCCGTCCGTTCGTTCGTCCGTCTCTTATCCTAAAGAAGAAGCCCACACTCATCCTACTCCGTCTTTTCTAAATTCCATATAGCTGCTGGTGGTGGTGTTATAGTAGGAGCGGGGACGCTGCCTCAGCTACGCGCCCACCCATCTTGGCGTCTTCCTTTTGCATGTGCAACTGAGAGTATGTCTGTGTATATGTATGTGTATGTATGTGAGTGAATTAACAAGATCGCCTCTTATAGATTCAAACCCTCCGTGCAGCTCACTTCGCTTTCCATCATCCTCCAACAATAATAACGCTGCTGCTACCACAACTGCTGCCGCTGCTGCTGCTGCTGCTGCTGCTGCCGCATCGGCCGTATCTTCAGCTGACCTCAGACACAATCATTTCGTCGCAAATATATTAACCAGTAAGCACAATTTTTTATCATTCTCTGGTGTACATTTTCTGCTGAACGGTTATTCCAGTTTGTTCTCTGTCATTGCTCATTTATACATTGGGGGTTATCTTTGAATATGGAAAGGGAACTTGTTAAATTCATCTTCCAATCCGCTTTGAAATATCATTTGAGTGAGTGAACAATGTCAATTAAGTAACAGCTACTTTTTTAAGTTGAATTATTAGTAAAACACCCATCCATTATATTCCTTATGTCCAAATTCTAGTACTATATTTAATACTATTTTATCTGATAAGAGATCGAAAGAGGACATTTTATTAGCATAAGAATAGAATTTGTGCAGCTATTAAGAACATTATTTGTACAGATCATCGTGCACTCTAGCTTACATTCATATGCACCAAAACATTTCTTTAGCAAGCGCTTTTTGGCGTAAAGGGCAGTTTTTATATTTGGTGAAGTATAATTTATGTGATAGGTACAAAAGTAATATGCACAGTGCAAGATACTCTAATAGTTTCATAAAGAATGTGTAAAGGGCTAATGTCATTTAATAGGTTATAAATGCACTCTAGCAAAATGACTTGCTGGTTTTTCATAGTAGTTTCTAATTTACGATATATTAGATATCTCTTTTCCAATTTTGATGAGTATTGCGAGCCATTTATTATGCACATTTGTTAGCCACTTTGTTTACAGTGAGCGGTCGTATGTCGAATGGTGCCACTGGACGTCCACTGGTTGCACTTCTGGACGGCCGAGATTGTACGGTTGAAATGCCAATTTTAAAGGATGTTGCAACGGTAGCATTCTGTGATGCGCAGTCTACTCATGAGATTCATGAAAAGGTATGGTTTTTGATAAGCAGTGTAGTATATCAATTTTTGATAAATAAACGCTGATATGGTCTAGCTTAATCTCCAAAACCGCGATTTTTAAAAGTTCTAGGTGCTTAATGAAGCGGTTGCTGCATTAATGTGGCACTCGATAACGCTTGAACGCGAAGATTTAGAGAAATTTAAAGCATTGCGGGTAGTTGTACGGATCGGAACTGGTACTGATAATATTGATGTGAAGGCAGCAACAGATCTCGGTAAGTTTACATTTTTGTAATGAATATAAACTGCATTTTTCTATAGCTACCTTGTGTGAAATGTGCTTTTTGTAAGTCCTCTGAAATACCTAAGTAATTTTTTTATTGGAACATTTTGAATATGTCCCAGATAGGAATTTGGTACAAAAAAACTTTGCATCAATCGGACAAATAGAATCACGATGATTGTTTCTTCGCGTATAGTTTGAGAAGGGAAGAACTACAACTTCATAGGGCCTGATTTAAGAAAACTAACAGTATTCCTAACTTTTTATTATAAATAGTTAGATTTCTTCAAAAATGTGATGAGCGGGTGGATTTAGGTTATAACATGTGGTGAACTAATCTTTTCTACTGTATAAGAAATGGTCCATGTTTTAGTATCACTTGATGAAGGTGTCTATCGTTCACTTTCATCTGGTGATAACCTGGCAAAATGGTACCATATCTGCATTTCACTAATAGGTACATGAATATAGGGGGTGTATTTTGTTTAGACTAAAGCGTATCAATTATTCCGCCCATTTCGTATGTGCTCAAAACTGTTAATTGCTGAATTTGTTACTGTCTTTTCGCAACATTTTCTAAAGACGCAGTTCACGATATGAAGATGCAATTTTACGGTAGAAAGTAGTGTACAAATTATTGTTTTTGTCCGTATTTGAAGGATCGTCCGTATTTGTGTTTTCTTCATTTTAACTAATGCTGATCCACTATATCTTTCTTAATAATGTATTTAGGAAGTTGTCTAAAAATCAGTGACTTTTTTGCTGGTGGTGACTTTTCATGATGTCTTATCTACTGCTGTGAGTATAGGAAACTTAACATAATCCATAGTATATTAAACTAAGGTCCATTATCTTAGATTACATTTCTCACTGATCCTTTGCCCAGATCTTTCCGCACGTTTTAATAAACTTCATCCTGTCGTGTTTTTATTTTTTCTTTTCGTGTCTTAATACTTATGTGTTGTTTTAGAAGTGACCTAAAAGGAGATGAAGGTCTTCCATTTTCATGAATCCACCAATATTTAGTTATTTCTTCAGTATATCTTATCAGTCATAAATCAAAATTGCTATTGCTACAACTAAAACTTAAATTTAATTCTTCAAACTAGATTGAATTCTTTTTCAGGGATTGCTGTATGTAACACACCCGGTGATTGTGTTGAAGAAGTGGCCGATACAACAATGTCGTTAATTTTAAATATGTATAGGAAGACATTTTGGTTGGCAAAAGCAGTTTCAGAAGGGAAAAAGGTTTTTCTATACTTCATTTATACCAGACCATACTAGAAGTTATACCTAGACTTTGCTGCCAGTTCTTACCAATTCATGGTATGAGGAAATATCGCTATTAGTAACGAAATATACTCTACGTATTTTCATTTTGTACTTCTTTTTAAGGTCTTCAAAAAATATGGAAAAAGCAGTTAACCAATCTCACTTACTCTTCCAGTTTTCCCATTGTGAGCTGTGATATGTGTGCAAATTATTAATTTTATTTCGCATCATATTGCATTTTTAGGTTAGTGGTGTAGAACAGGTGCGTGAATTGGCTAGTGGTAGTACACGAATTCGCGATGATACTTTGGGTATTATTGGTCTTGGTCGTGTAGGTACAGCAGTAGCGATGCGTGCTAAAGCATTTGGATTCAAAATTTGTTTCTTTGATCCGCATTTACCAGAGGGAGTTGACAGATCGTTGGGTATTGAACGCTGTTACAATCTCGATGATATTTTATTCAAATCCGATTGTATAACGTTGCACTGCCCACTGACGGATGAAACGAGGCATATGATCAACGATGTTAGTTTTTTAATTTCTGCTACTTTCTTTAGTTATCGGACATAAAAAAAAAACAGCTGTTAATGATAGTATTACGTTGAGTAAAGTGTAAGGAGAGCTTGGTATACAATGAAACTGAGATGTAGTTCTTCCCTGCATCAGACACTGAATTTGTATTTAGAACCTTTAAAATTAAATTCTTGATTTTATGTTATACATAGGTGTAAGCTGTGTCTAACAAGGATAGATGCATAACTTTTTTTTCTCTGTGTTAAATGTTAAAAATACGGAAGACTTAATCTATAAAGTAAATTGACTTCGATCATTCAGAAGTAAAATATCCGATTTATAACATAAATTCGTATCACGGTGTATTTGAATATCAGCTAAAAGATATTTAATCTGCTGAATGATTTTTTAACATACCTATTTTTTTGCATTTCTTTAGCAGTATATTACAAAATGGCAGTGTAATAAAAGTGATGAAAAGAATTCGTCTCAAAACAATAAAATTTTCTTGGAAGAAGATTTTGTTATTTTGAGACGAATTATTAATATTAAGTACGATCCTTTGTATATTGTCTCACTGTACTTACAGTCTCGTGATTTTCCATTACTACAGATGACAATCAAACAAATGCGACCAGGTGCATTTATTGTAAACACTTCGAGGGGTGGTCTTATTCAGGAAAGTGCGTTGGGTGAATCGCTGAAATCGGGGCATATTAAAGCTGCAGCGCTTGATGTCCATGAACATGAACCTTTCGATCCCCTTGCTATGGGTAACCTTTTATTAATACAGTTCTTCGGCTTTTAAACATTAAAAATATTATTTATATTTATGCGCACCAAAATTGTTCCTAACTGAGAAATTTCTCAGGACCTTTATCTGCTGTGCCGAATATCATCCACACTCCGCATTGCTCATGGTATTCGGATGCTTCGTGCAAGGAATTGCGTTTATCAGCAGCACGAGAAGTTCGGCGTGCTATCGTTGGTAGATGCCCTCATGATCTCACTAACTGTGTCAACAAGGAAGCACTCCTTGCTGGACATACTCGAAGGCCAACATCAACTACATCCTTAGCGCCGAATGTATCCAACTCATTTAATCCTTTGATGCCATCGTTTGGAACGTCCATCGCTGATGGTAATTTTTTTACTTAAAGTGATTTTTGTGAATGATATGCAGGAATTACAACATTTTAGGCGGTTGTCATTATCAAGCATTGTTTTCTATTATTTTTCTAATTATATTTGTGCAACCTAATTTTATACTCTAGGTTTTAATGGTTTGCCAGTTGGCGGCAATTTGCCATCATTTCCTTATTCGAATCCACTGTTAGCGATGGGCAATCCATTATTGAATCCATTGATGATGAATCCAAGTACGGCTGCATTAGCTAGTTTTGCAAATGCTGCAGCGAATACACCACATAATAGTACGGCTGCTGCGCTTTCAACATTGGCTGCTGTTTCATCTGCAATGACAACTAGCGCTGCACCGGTTGCCAGGCAGTCACCTGCGGTTCCGGTGTCTCACTCACCAAAGGTTAGTTTTTCTTAGCATCTAACGATGTAAATCTGTCTTCATATCTTTTTCCTTGTTTTCAATCATTTTGCTTCCGCAAACAGTAACACTTTGTTATAATAAGTTCGAAAACACTAGACGTTAATCGCTGTTCTAATATGTAGTTAATAAGCAGCGTTTTTTTTTTCAGGCAAACAATAACAGTCGTACTACAGTTTCACCAGCTGTAAGACCGGCATCCTCACCCGATGGTCCAGCTGAAGTAAAGGATGGTACTCCACCTGCACAACAGGCTACTACGCAACCCCATTTAACCTCCACCTCATCATCATCGGCATCACCTTGTAAAAGTCCAGGAGTCTCTAATTTACCTAAGGTTAATTGTTTGTTTCCATGGTCAATTGGCAAGTTGGCGTTGTGTCCACTCATGGCAATAACTCTGTCGTATTTATCGCGATCCATCTTGCAAAAAGTACTGACAGCTTATTCATTATTTTTCAGGTGCCGACTATATCGGTTGATCCATTGGCTTCAGTGGTCCCGGAAGAATCTGCTACCACTGCAGTTAAACTTGACGCGGAATAAGTTGATCTTTAATGCTTTTTCACATTTCACTTTAATTAGGTTTATTGACTGATGAATGTGCAAATATGAGAATAACATGTACTAAGCAGTGGTAAAACTGACTAAACCGTTGACAACTAGTTTTTTCTTATTAACATTTGTTTTTGTGACATCTGCATATAACGTCGGAAGCCTAAAATTGCGTCTTTTCATGTTTTGCCTATGAAAATTTCTTGTAAAACTTTGCTATTCGACAGACCTCTTAGCGTAATTATCATTCGTCAAATATCTTTTTGTCTTGTAATTTAATTTGCTTATGGAAAAGTATTACGAAAGCATTTAATAAAAATCCAGTTCCAAAAATTGACTTGTTGCGAGTGCAGCTGGGAGAAGATTTAAGAAAACTGAGTTATGAAGATCATTGATTTTTTAATGTAAATGTTAATGACATCTATCAGGCAGCTGGTGATTTGTATAAGGTTTCCTTCATTACAGATAGGACTACGGAATTTTTTTTAGATATGCCAACTTTTCCATATGCGGAAGTATATCTAGCATTTTTCTTTTCTAACGGTTTGTTTTTCAAAAAAAAAAAGAAAAAGGGGCAATTCGTTGAAAGCTATAAATTATTAATTAGTATGGGACGGTTGTATTTTTCAAGAGATACATTAATAGCACTAAAATGAAACAGGTCAGTTTTAGAATCCGTTTGGTTTCTGTGGATATATGTTTATTTGTGTATGTATGTTATGTGTATTTATATCTCATGTTATATCACAAATAAAATTTTAATACTGATAATATATGTGTGTATATTCTCTGTGTGTGTTTGGCATGATATAAATGGAATTATGCCGCATGGTTGTTTTCTAATACAAAAGATTTTTGCCAGTTTATTTTCTACAGTGAATATGAATTGTACATAAAATGGTTTTGACTTACTTGTTACGGTGATTTCAATTATTTTATTTATGATTTCTGTTGCTTTGTCGCACTTCTCGAAATAATTAAATGTCGTTTTATGTTATCAGCATTGTTTGTTTGTTTGAGTTTATTTAACATTCTTAAATTTAGTGTTAGTTGATCGCCAGTTACTTTAATGCTATATTCTGGAATTACATTGTTCCTTATTTGTTTGGGGTTTATTTTAGGTGATACCTCCTACACCTAGCAATAATAAAATGGGATAAACTTGCTGCTTTTTTTCTTAACAAAGTGTAAAAGTCAATAGGCAAAATGTAATTTTGTTCCTTTTTTCTTTGGTTCCTCGGCTTTCCAACCTCCATATACAGCGTTCATAGATGAGCGGGTGTCACATTTGTTTTTATCAGAGTCAGTGTTATGCATTTTGCGAAAGCATACATGTGTAGAGGATAGTATTCCGGTCTGGTAAACATGTCAAAACAGTAAACATTTCCATCTTCTTGCTGTGTGAAAATGCTTTTTCGAAGGGTTGAATACGGGGTTGTCATTCCCAGAATACTATCTATATTTGATACAATTTTTGGATTTTTAATCTCTGAAATAATCATTCTGTGAAATATAACTTTCTTTTAAATGGTGGCATTCATTCACAATTGCAATATAATGATGGTTGATGTGGGTTTCATTCATTGCTGCATATGCTGTCAAATCATGCAAACTGGTTTCTACATAAATCCCAACCCACTCAGCATACCAGCAGCACCAGTCCAATTTGCACTCGATAGTTTATTAGAGTGGTGTCCCTTGAATTCTCGGAGAAGTGACAAACGGTATCTTTCTTTCCAGACCAATCATTGGTGATATTCGTCATTAAGCATGAATGAATATTGCAAGTGTTTAGTGAGTTAGACGACATATATTTTGTCACTTAAAAGAGGGATGAGAATGGTTACTCATAGCTTTGTTATAACAAATGGTAATATACAATGTGAAAAATTATGGGACAGCTTTTTTTCCTGCAGACACAAAATGTTCACAGATTATTCTACATTGGAAATTTGAAACATTAGACAGAAGTGTTAAGAATGTTGGTGTTCAGCTTTGGAGAGAAAAGGATTTGTGTGTCTTGAGAACATTGAAAATGTCTGATTTTAAAAAATTGGGATAGAACCGATTGAACAGGTTTCCTCTGGAGTCTTCGAATACACATTATTCTCAAATATTATTTACCGTTACCTACCATCTGCTGTTTAAGTTTTCAATATGTCCGCTCTATCCAGCGTATCTTTCATATCTGAAGTGATATCCTACCATGTCTATTCGACGAAATCACTACGGTGAACCTTTGCGATATAAAAATATCAAGTTAACTATATAATATTCAAATGATCTGTTACATCGGGCTCATTTGAATTCTTTGATTTACAAGAAAAATAACACACAAATGTTGTAGGGATCTTTGTGAACTTTTGTTTGTTTCTCTTCCATTATTACAGATTAAATTGTTCTACATTACTGGTTCTAACTTTAGCTTCAAACTGTTGAGTTTATCTGTCGATGTTTACATGATACACTTTTTTCCCTATATTTTGCGGTTCTTCACTTCAAAAAAAAAACTTTGGCTTTGATAAAATGAGACAAAATATTCATTTCTATGTATATTTTATACTTGTAGCTACTTCACCAATAATCTTGTACTATATAGTATACAATTTATTTACTTTGGACAACACTACAATGGATCGCTTTGTGAGACAAAGGTATTTCCTGATGTGAAGTAAAAGATATGTTACATACAATTTAATAATTTTGAAAAATGTTTGCTTCGATAATTCAAATATTTCGGGAATTGTTTTTAAAAAAATCAATAAAAAGATAGGAACCAGACATGAGTTCTGATAATTATGTGCAGACATTTCAAAATAATTCTCTCACATACATCCTTATATTGATGCTGTTGAAAAAATTTTCCAAATGGTATGAGCCAGAATTCACATGAAGCAAAAAACTGATGGATGAATACTTGATTTCTTTCACTTTTTTTCTTAAAAATCATATCATTAAATTTTAATCCATATTGCTCCTATCCAAAAATTATGGAGACATCGGTTTTGATGTAAGAAAGTAGTCACTATATGAACTGAATATAGAAGTAATAATTAAAGTGAATAATTATTTTTAAAAAATCCATATTTACTGGCTTGATTGATGAGGATTCCCTTGAAAGTGTGTGAAAGATGAGTTAGTGCATAGTATTGCAGAAGTTGTGCTAAATCAATGTTTACACAACTTGCAGATGCTACCTCGGCAAATTCAACAAGCTGATTAATAAGAATTCAATCTCGTCTATTACTGTATTTCGATCATTTCCCTTTCAACTTCATCCCATATTTTTCGCAAACATTTTCCATTACTTTCACTAATGTTGTGGAATAATCGCCATTACCGGTTTCTTTTGAGGAAGTGAGTAAAACCAATTCTTCCTTTTTCTTTACTTTTGCTTAATATCAGAATTTTTTAATCCTAAGAAAAGTAAACTTGTAATTGGATATTTCAAGAAATGAGTGTGCATTCCTCTTACCCACACACTTCTTTAGCTATCATCGTTAATTGTAATGAGTAAATGTGATTCGTGATTTTATTTTTCATTCCGACTATACTGTCAGATAGTTTCATTAATTAAATTAAATTGTGGCATAAAAAATAATGCTAGAAAAGATTTTGAAGAGCATGAAATTTATTAATTCATTGATAAAAAATCTGCTATATATATTTTTGTTCTATTGTGTATGATTCACTGAATGTGCTAGTTTGTGATGTTTGTCCAACTCGAACATTTTCATGTATTTCTTTACCATCCAACTCTTACTTTCATCCAATCTCATTGCTTTCAATTTTTGCTTTCTACATCCCTTTGTAAATAGTTAGCATTCTTAAAATTTTTTTCATTCTCATTTATTTTCCCACATAATCTTGAAAAATTCCGGCTAGCTAAAATTATGTAAAAAAATGACTTAGAAAATCTATTAGAAAAAATGGTGAAAGTGTAGAGGAGTTTTACTTGTTAATTTCGATACATCTAATATTTTTTTACTAATTAAAATGCTAATTATTTTATTGATTGATTATAAAAATTGAATGAAAAAAACAAAACTGAAATCAGCTACTGTTTTCTGCAGCGTGTACAATTATTAATAAACTCATTGGAATTGTTCATGGCTCAAGTACCTCCATCGCCGTGGTCCAGATGGGATGCACCGGGTTAGCTGCTAATTTAGAATTTAATAATTACCAACTCATATTTCATATTGTTGATATTTTTATCTGATAATCAAACATACTTTGAATAATTTTTCTCTTTTAATTTTTTTTTTGCCTTTAAATTTTGTTTTTAAAAACTTCATTAGTATTGAATCTGTGTAGCTTGGGAATTATAAGGAAATAAATAACTGGAATGGTACATTCTCTTCTCCCGATTTATTTACAAAAATTTTAAATTACATTTATATTTATTCAATAATTGCTTCAAAAATATTTATACTTCAACGAAATTTTTATAGACGGTTTTAGGTTATCAGTATGTATCAAATAAGACCAAGCAACCATTTCCGTTGCAGTACGATAGTGAATTTGAAAATTCTGGATTACAGTTTGGAAATGCAACACGACAAAGGTTGGTGGGAGCTGGTAGACTCGTTGACCAAAAGATAAATCGTAAGTTAGTAAAATAATCAAGTAATAAAATTGCAGTTTTTAGGAATGTTTCAATGAATATATTGAAAAATATAGGTTTAATGACAACATAACTTTGTTCTATTTCATGGAATCATGAAATAAAAAATTTTTAATTCATTCCGATAATTAATTAATTGAATAATAAAAATTAATTATTATATAACTTCAAATGAGAAAAACGAAATATGATTTTCATGAAAATTCTCTCTTCACTAATGATGATCTTTTGAGCTCGAAATTTTTACGTTTTCTACCTGACACGCTATTTATTTGTTATGTCCTGACTTATAGAATTGTATTAGTATTGATACGGATAGTGATTGTTATAATTGATCAAATTTTTATTTGCTTTCATCTATTTGGAATAATTGGCTGAATTGGAACTTGAACTTGCACTTTTTCCGGCTACTTTTTGCAACTGATTTGCAGCAAATGATACAAATTTTATTGACTGCATATATGGAATAGAAAATTCTCCAATTCGTATCATTGAAAAATGTTTAGCAAATATTGGATGTTGTGAAACAACATGTTGCAAAAATCGTTCATGGTTAACTGTTTCGTCTTAATTCTTTTTTTCATGCACTTAAATGAGATTGCACATTTCTCTCATACTTACTAGGTTTTTTGACTTGCTAGATCAACTTTTTTCCAACTTTTCATATTTTTTAAATCTTAGAAAAATTAGGATTAGATGAACAAAAATTAAAGAATCGTTTTATAGGCAGGAAAAGTACGCCTGGGCAATTGCACTCCTTGCTATATTTTGTTTTGTCGTACTTTTCTCCCTGTTCATGATACTATTTTGTTGGTTGTATAATCGAGCCAGAGATAAGCGTCAGAAACGATTCATTGGCCAATCAATGGGTGGAATGAGTCCAGCAATATCACAGGTTCATCTTAAATAAAATTTTTTTAAACTATCGGATCATTTTTGAAAAAAATAAAAAAGTGATTTGGATTTTAGCTATCTAAATTCATTTGTCATTAACTGAATGTAATTTGAAATTCAAATTTGAAACTTTACTTTTTTGAATTAGTTTCCAGGCAAATTTAGCAGCAATCGAAAATCGAAATGAAAATGGTTACTATCCGTATGTTGGTGGACCTAATCAGTACTGATATTTGGAAAATTTCTCTTCAATCATGAAATCGTGTACTAAAAATTACTAATTTTTTTTTCAAAAATAACTAGTTATTTTTTGTTCACGCATCATCTATGCTTAAACCTTATCGAGTTTCCTTCAATTTTAATTTCAGTGGAAGAAAAAAAAATACTGGGTTTTAAAGATTCTACGAAGGCTGTAATATTATCAACCTTTCCAGACTGATATAAATAAAGGGTGAAATAAAAGCATAAACTTTATTATGTGTTTACTTTGCAATTAGTTTTTTTGCAAATTTGGAAATCGAATCCAAAAATAATCGAATATTTATGATGCTGGTTGATTAATAAATTATTTAATCATGACAAATACTTTGAAAGTGAGCGTTATTGAGATCAGCATAAATTCAGAATTTTCCGCTATTCTCTGGGATATTAATTTCTCTTTTCTGAAGTGTGAAAAATGGTTGCAGTAAAAAAAGTGATTCAGGAAAATCGTTACATGGTTCATTCCCTTAATTCGAGATATCTTGGTGGAAACGGGAAGAGAGAGGGCAGGTATAATGTATTTGGACCTGTGACTGCTGGAAAGCATACATTAAAGGAGATATAAACCTTAGCATTTATCGCCACTCTTTGGTTGCATGATCGACGAGGTTTGATTAAGCTTTAATATTTGTGCATTATTAGTCAGTCCTGCAAGTGGTGTTTGATCAACGAAAGGTCGGTCGTCTGCAAAAGTTTCGAGCAAGGACAGATGGGTTAGATACAGCATATATTGATTGAGTTTATGATGTATTTGAAACTGAATGCAAATTATGATCAACATTAGGAATGATTTTCGAGATCTCATGGATCTCGAAAATCCATTTTATGGCAAGCTTCAATATTAGTAAACTTGGATTTGTAGATTACCTAATTATTTGCTTGGAAAAGATAAGATTGCAATGTGTTTACCAGCGCAGATTTCGATTGTACGAAATGTCAAATACAGAACAGTTATTTGAATATTTATAAACAAAGTTCATTTCTGTATTCGGCATCTATTAAAACAATCTCAGGAAACTATAACGAATTTCGCGATTGAAGCATTTCTGGAGTGGAAGAATAATGAATGGAAAGATGGTTGATAATTCATTTTTATTTTTCTCGTATTTCTCCAATATTTCAGAGAAGTCAAGCAGTTGATATTATTAAATTTTATTTTTAATGAAAAATATTCTTTAGAATTAGATTTCACATATAGCAGCTCAGGTTATATGAATGCTAAAGCAGAATAAGGGTGGATGTGAGGAGCATCGAATTTCGTTAGCACTGGGAAGAAAGACTGTTATGAACAATCATTGTTGTATGAAAAAAATTCCATCTTGAATTGTTCTCTCATATGTGCTATTTCAATGCCATCCTTGCTGTTGATCAGTTTGATTATTTTTGATTTTTTGAGAAATCTTGCTTGAAATTGTTTAAAAAAAACTCATTGAATTTTTCAATTTAAGAGTTCAATCTGAATATTAGAAAAAGTAATGGTAAATGCACACGTATTCTGAATACGACATTATGGCTATATTCTTTCTGGGTGATATTTACACTATTAAAACACGATATTGCTGCATCCTATGAGTAAAAGAATATAATTAAAAATGTGTATTTTGATTTATAATACAAATATTATGACAGATTAGACAAAAGTATAAAATTAAATACTAGCGAATTACCATGAAAAAAATAAAACGTTTTGCTAGGAGCAACTTTTAGCTTCAGTTTAATTCCAAAATATGGAACACAATACGATTTCCTTCGCTACTATTTATATATTATCGTATTATATAAACTATGCAGAATCTTTAAATGAAAAAGTTTTGCTTTTTTGATTTCATTTCACTGTTCGACTAAATTATTTATTTAATATTAGTGGAGAATATTGCAACTAAAATGTTGGCTAAAAGTTAAGTGTATTACAGAATTATACAACAAATTTAACTGAAAAAAAGAAGAATGGAATAGTTTACAAAAACAGAAATGCTTTGAGTGTGTTTGCCATAAATGAAAACACAATGTGATAGTTTTCAGTTAATCTTTTCTATCAATATCTTAATATCAAGGTTGTTTCTATAGAGTTTCTATAGAGATTATGAAAATGGCATATTTCAAAAACGATAACATTTTTTCCATCTACGATCGAAATTTTAATAGAATTTTGATCAAATGACATATATCTTTAATTGGAATACAGTGGTATTGTTATAATTGTCAATAATTAATCAAAATTCAAAATTTGCTGTACTTATAAGATGATCAGAATTAAATGCTCCTCATTATAATAAACTTGATAGAACTGTATAGTTTTGCAATGTTAGCAATTAATCTAATCTATTTCTTGCATAATCTTTCAATGTTTATCAACTTTATTCGTTTGGTTGGATTGTTCATTTCGCTTGTGATCACCGCTATTTAACAGCAATTTTTCAATCTAATAATAGTATACTTTAATTTTGCAGATCACTCATACCTTGCGATGCGATAAGATATCCTAGTTAAAATGCAAGCAAATTACTTGTACTAAAATTTATTGTGATGAATTGTGTTAAAAATAACAATATTATGCATTAAAAATTATACATGAACCACAGAATACATAGGACAGTGACTTAAATGTGAAGTGCAATTCAGTTTGCTAACTATATGTTAATATTACCACAAAGAATAACAGTCTAAATTAGGAGAAACTTCGAGGATTAATTATCAGGGTGAGGTAACTAAGCAACAAACAATCAGCAAACTGATAAGTTATTTTTTAACTGAAAAAAAATTTTTCTTTCATGCGTTTTTTGAATTTTGACATCCAAAAAATGAGGCGACTGAAGAATGATTACATAATAAATATATTCAAACAATACTGGTCGCAAATTCAGCTGAATCCATAATGCGATTTGTTTGGCCACTGAGACGAGCATTTTCTGCGGATTCATTACTGGATGTTAAACTATAATTAGCTGAGTCATCTTGACGCGAACCACCAATGTTAGTCTTAATCTGATGCCGTGTTGAGGTACTGCCAGTAGCAATTGTGGTACGCAGTGATTTTGTTGGTTGCTGTTGAGCTCTGAGCGTTCGATCTCGATCATTACCCTCCATATGTGATGTACCACGATCAGGACCAAAATTACCGTACAGACTACCAGTACCAGTTGTACCGCTACTTACGAATCGTCCGCCACCGTAAACATTTTGTGAATTGGGCGATCCTGGTGTCGGTGCTCGTTGTGACGAATAGTTACTTGCACTACCTTGACTAGTTAGCGTCGATGTGGGCGTGAAACATTGTTCTTGCTGAATTGTACTGGCTGCCGATGCAGCCTAAAAATTCTCATATTAAAAAAAATTAATATGTCGCATTTGCTAATTTGAAATATTTATTCAATTAGTCAGTCGTGCTGTGTCGCTTCTTCAGATTTGCAAAAAGTTCTGCTTACAGTAAACAGTGCAAGAAGTAGTCTGTGCAATAATACTTATTTTGTTATTACGCCAAACTTATATTCAAAAAACGTTGGAAGCACAAAAAAACGCCTTTCATATTTTGGGCAAATAGTTGAAAAAATTCAAATTTCATTTGTTTATATTTCACTGTTGGAAATTTGTATGTTATTAGTATCAGATTACTATTATAAAATGAAGTTATAAATTATATTTGTAAAAACAGAATAGTAATAACAAATGAATTCCCAAATAGTAGCAACTCACGCCGACAATTATAAAACCGTACTTCAAATATAAAAAATCTAAAAAAAGGAAATAAGTATTGCGGTAATTATGATAATTAGATATTTCCCAAAAACAGGACGTATTTTATTAGAGTCTCTGAAGGCATTTGACTTCATAAATTATAGCGTAAAATTATACGACTTCATTGCATCGCATTTTAAATCACATTATAAATTCTAATCAAAAGATATACTTAAAACTCATTCACTTTGAAATAATAATAGTTCAGGATTTCAGGGAAGCATTTTCTATGGAAGCAAATAAGCAAACCTTATCATATGATGAGGGATTTGCCCAATCCACCGGTTGAGAGATCTGTGAAGTTTGCCGCTGCTGTGACCGGTTTCCATGGATGGATCCAGCACCAGAGCTCTGCTGCTGCTGTTGCTGTTGCTGGGCACCAATTAATTTATATGAATCGATAGTCGGAGTAACGCTATTGAATGATGATAATTTTAAGTTGGAAGTCCTTTGATACGGTGAATGTTCCCTAGAAACTTTCTATTTACTTTTATCAGAAAATGATACTATATACTTTCAACTATTCAGAAATTTAAAAAGCGATTCCATTATTTTTAATAAAATGATTGATCAAATGAGAGAGTGGAAAAATTACCAAACCTGCTGGAAATAGATGTTCGCATACCCAAACGATTTTCAGCAACGGGACTACTTCGTATAGAAAATACTGAAGATGTTGGCCCACTATCCATGACAATATTCTGCGACTTATTAGTCTGGAATAATATAATTAACTAAAACTAGATTAAACAACAGGACTTATTCTTGTACGTTTTTTTTAGAAGTGCATAATTGAAATTTAATAAAAAAAAAACATAAAAATGAGAATGAAGAGAGAACCTGTGTTCTGTTGTAAATAGTGCCCATATTTCGATTGGTTTGAACTGCCTGAGCAACTTGAACAGCAGCTTGTTGCATCAACTGCTGATTCTGAAAAGCACGAGTCTACAAAAACCAGTAAAATAATGCTGAAAATGACTTAATTCTTATTTTATTAGCTAATTCAACTAAAACATTCATATCAACCAGCAGAATGAGAATTTTCAGATTTTTTTAAACAATTCAGAATTTTCAACTGATATTTCTGAAACACATCACAATCACAAAAAAAGCAAAGAAAATTCATTTTGAACCTGAGGTCGGCCATACGTTGCATATGCTCCGTATGAAAGACTCGCATTTCCAAACCCATTGTTAACTGCTCCGTCATCTTTAGAACCACGTTTTCCTGTCACTGTTGTTTCCGTCTGTTCAGTCCGGTTTTTATGAATTGAAGCATATGCCTCCTGTTGCTAAACAATGATTCCGCTGTAAGGAGAAGCTACAAAACAGCTTGGACGTGATTTCATTGGCATGCAAATCTTCGTTTGGCAAAAAGTCTGTTTTCAAATTTGTCTATCATCAAATTATGATAAAACACAGTATTATACTTTAAAGATCGTATACACATATCTTTTGGATATTTGACAATTTCAACATATCTCCTACTTTAATATTTATAAGCTGTTAAAAAAAAATTTATGTTCACCGTCAAAGGTGTGCTGTCTGAAGCGCTGCTTCCATTACATGCATTCATTGAATTTTGCAGTGATGGTCTTCGGGAATTTTGCATCATTTGCCGATTGCTGCTGGATGTATACTCTGATCGTTGAGTTCGCTGAAAAATCAATTCGCTTTGCTTATAATAATGTCGTTTGGAAAGCGAATGATTCTGGAGTTCACAAAAATTAGAACAAAAAATCTAAATTTCAAATCTAAATTCTTAAGAAACTACCAAAATAAACCTGAAAATGTGAAAAATTCACAACCAATGACAAAATGGATTAACATAAATCTAAATACCTGGAATGTTCCAAATGTATTCCCGGGTACCGTTACATTTGCCGAAACTTTTGCTTCACTGGAATATTTGGGAACATTCATTATAATCCGTTGCTGTGATTGATGCGTTATTTGTGGCTGTTTGGTATGAGCAATCTATATATCAATGTAGAAAATATTAAAATTCCAATTCCTGAATTAATTAGAAACAAGATAGTTTAAATTATTCTCAAATAGTATTGTAACATGAAAAGTTGCAAGAATAGGAAATGAATATAAACCGTATGATAGGCAACAGTAGGTGACGAGTTCTCATCGCTACTTCGCCGGCGAGTTGTGGATGTACCGAGAAGCCGATTCATTTCCGGTGTTCCTTTCACGCTTTCTGGTGGGAGTCTCCTGAAAAATTACGCTGTAAGGATTATATGAATATAGAAGCAAAAAAAAATGAATGATAATAATAAAGTAATCGATTAGAAGTAACAATTAATTAAATAGAAAAAGAAACTGAAAAAAAAAACCTCGTTGTGGGTGATTGTGTACTATTTCCTTTTAACCAGTAAATCCCTTCGCTTACTGTACCAAATCCATTCTTCTGTATTTGCCGTAATAATGACTTTTTAGCTATAGTATCATCCGTAAGATATATCTAGAATTATAAGATGTAATCATTTTCCATTTAAAACTTTCATCTATCAACAAATATTGAAATGAATGAAAGTTTGGGAAAAAAGGAAAGCTTTTCGATTCATAATTACTGTAGTATTTAGCTATGAAATTTAAAAAACTCATAAAACATTTAAAAAATCAGATTCCAACCTGATCACCATGCATTAATATCAATGCATTTTTTAGTTCGGATGGTTTTTTTTCAATGATTTTTATGGGCGAAGCAATCATTGTTTGAGGCCCATTCTACAATTTTTCAGTTAGGAAATTTGTTTTTGCTTTTCAATTGAAAATTAACATTAATTCAATTTCGTCAAATTACAAATTATGAATCTCTCGAAAAAACGGGAAATCTACTATCTATCCAATTTTAAATCAGCATAACGTTATCCGGAATAAATATTTCCCTGTTCTACTTCTTTATTCGATTTTACCACAATTAAAGTATAAATAAAATGAGATTAATTTATTACTTGAAGAGCAATAATTTCATGCACTTGAAAAACAACTTTAAAATTCCAATCTCTTTTAAGTGTAAGTATAAGCCAGACAATAATCCACGCAAAGAGGAAAACAATATCAATAACGATGCACGATAACAATAGCGCTTTTTCTTCATGCTGAAAACAAAACTCCGATTTATTGACCTTTTTTTTATAGCAATTTCTTTCTAAATATCTCCATTCTGAATGATAGACATTTTAAACAATCAATATTCAAAATTAAAATTGAATAAAATACTCAACTATGCAACTCATTCCTTTTCTTTTTCTCTTGCATTTTACTTCTTTTTTTACAGTAAAAAAAAGTTTCTGAAGTCATTTGACTTGACAAACTGAAATTGATTAGAAACAATTAAAATAGGCCAATTATTTGATGATTTGTAAAAAATTACGCAAATAATCTAATTACCTGATAGATCACCATATGCGCATACATGGTTGGAGCTTTGGCGATAACAATTAAAACAAGTAAAATTATTGCAAATATGTGAGGTGCATATCTAAAATGATAAATTTAATGAAGGCTCAGTCCAAGAAAAAATTAAACTAAATTAAAATGAGAAAATTCTTTTTGGAGAAGTATTCCTGCATGTTATTATTGCATAAATTGCTTGCAAACATTCATAATTTCTTACAAATATTTATTTAAATTGTAAAAATATGCCAAAATACACATACCCATCGCAGCATAATCTAGTTTGTGGCAGCTTGGATGAGCTTCGGAGACGATATTCTGAATATTCACTCTGAGCACCATTAATACTACTCGCCTGACTTCGAAAGGCACTTTTTTGCCGCACATTTGACATGCTTATCTGATAAGAATATTATATTTTGAAGCGGTCAAATTCATCACTTTTAATGAATTGATTGCTAAAGATTTCAACAGAATTTTAAGGACAACTTACGAAATATTTACTATAACCATACATATACAATGCAATGGGTGCAATACTAATAAGTATAATTGTCGTAACATAGGTGATAATAACTGCGAATGGATGATAAATTTTTAACGGACGTGAAGAGATCAAATACTGTCCTAAACCAAGCGAATTAATTAATTTGATGAATATACCAAGGATAGGAATGAAAAGAACACTTGGAAGCAGAACTTACTCAAACTCATTTAACACGAAATAAAGCTAAAACTTCATTAAAAAAACCGATTGCAATGAAAGATCAAGAACATACCGAGACCAACCGGTCGGACACTAGCATAGTTCGTTTCCTGTACGCGATGAAGAACACTAAACCCAAGATAAGACCAAATTACTGTCGCCGAATAAATCAACAAATGAAGGGAAAATATGAAACTAAACGGTTTATTGGTATGCCAGAAAACTGCTGAATAAACACACGTGTAGGCGAATAGTGCAATTAGTAAATTGACAAATTCCAGCGGTATTCCAAACAAACGAGCATGCATCAGTACTGAATAATTATTTTATTAATTTTTGCCAATTTTTGGGTCAGATAGATAATACAGCTTAGCTCTGTATTCTTCTAGTTCTGACGATTCTAGTAAAGACTGAATTTTACTTGGTAATAAATTAGGACTGATTGGTGTAGCAGTCAAATCCTGTGCTGATATACGAAAACCTTGCAATCGGCTATCGAGCATCGGCAAATTTGTTGCTAGTTGCCGGGAACGCTGATACACGAAATCAAGTTCTGTGTTCAAAAAATCACCTGAAAAATTTTTGCGAATTTTTTTAAAGACACGTTTAAGATGCAAAATATTACTGTTATGAAACTTTCAATATCTTTTCTCAATTTTTTAATTTTTTTTTTCAATTGAAAAAATTTATTGACTTCATTATTTTAGAATCCAAAATTAATTGTACATCGAGCAAAGAATGGCCGACCTCAAAATCTTCGATCCAATTCTGATGCTTTCTAAGACTGATAAATATTTAGTTGAAATGCTAGAGCTCCCAATGTAAATGACTCCGAACAACTCTCTACTACTATCAATTAATGGAAATATTTTAAAACACGGACGTGACTCAACTATGAAAGTTACAGAAAGTGAACACATCGATCGAATGAATTAATTACGCTACATTTTACATGTGTACGCTTTTTATACATCTTTTATAAAACTATATTATAGAAGTTACTTCAGGTATTATGATTCACTTCTTTAAATTAATGCTTCAAATTCATCGATTTTAAATTATGATATCTGAGATAAAATATGCTCGGTAATAGTAAATGTTCAAGTTTAAGATCAAATTTTGTTAGGAATTTAAGTAATAGCTATTTTATTTTTATGATGCTTAATCCCCTTGTTGTCTTCTGTTATTTCGGACATAGATTGATTTTTTAGAAAATCAAACGGTCATAAATTTTTTTATAAATTTCGCCTTACTAATTTCTCAGTTTCTACATTATCAAATTTTTTCAGTGTTGGATTTGGCTTAATGATCATCCCGTCAATTAGACAATGGCTGATATAAGTAAATATTTGTATATATTCACTTCACATTTCGTGTAACATTTGTGATTTCGAATTTATAAGTGATACTGCTTTATGAAATGGCGAAAAGATGTGACAGTGGAATGTCTATAAAGCATTGGGAGAGCAGCAGCATCGAGTATATTTTAAGTCCATTAGTTTCATTCTCATTCTCGATGCTCCTTTTTCCCTTCAACTCTTTCTGTTCCTTGCCTTTCGCTAGGCCTTTTTATTAAAAAAAGACTTTTTTTGACAGACTATTTCACTACATTTATCGAAATCAATAGGCATTAGGCACTGCCTGGTATAGGCCATCTTTTATGTATACAAGGACACTAGCCAAACACATTCACCTATCCATCACACACACACACACACACACACACACACACACACANNNACACACACACACACACACACACACACACAAACACACACAAACACCAAATAGAAATTAAGAACAGAAAAAAGTTACAAACAAAGATGAATCAGTTACAAAGAGTCAACTTTACAAGCCTAGAAAGAGTATTTAACGTGCAATCACGTAACATAAATTCGATTTTACAGCGTGCGTCATTCTTTTCAGTGACGAGAAATACTGCTTCGGAACTCCCCAACCTCTCAGATATAACTTCAAAGTCATTTCTTGCAATGCAATTAATTTTACGATTGTAATGTTTTTCGATATTCTTCAGCACTTCTTCAATAGGACTGAGTGAAAAGCCTTCATAACTTCAATCATTTTTCTCTGCACTTTTCTCACTTCAATCTAATATTTCTGTATCTGAAAATCCATAGACAAAATTTCATAAAATTTAATTTCTGGCGATGGGTTTTGACGTATTATAGATATTACGGATTTGAGCATGCATCTGGTATATCATGATATCATGCTGTTATCGTTGATTAATGATTGGTTCTTTGTAAAGGGAAAAAATTTCTTTTCATCAAATTCAAATGTGAGCAAATCAGTTATGCCTTCGTCCTGAGAATACTACGTTAAGGCCTATGGTAATTTGGTGGAAATAGTTTTATTCATCAGAAGTTTAAGTTTAAGTTTCAAACACTTTAACAATGTTTCTTATATTATTTCAAGTAATATTCATAGCCTAACATCTTAATGTCGTCAGGATATGACAATTTTTTGCATCCTTTATCATACATTATAGAGTCGCAAAGAAAGGAAAAACTTATCGTGCTCGTCACATTGGCACTTTCCTATAGATTTTTTACGAGTTTCTTGGAATTAGCTTTTTGAATACCCTTAAGGCGCAATTTTTGCTACAACCATTGCTCCTAGCTTTCCTACAAATTCATCCACTTTTTGACTTAAAAGCAGCCCAGTCTTCCTAGCTCTTGATAGTATATTTCTTTTACCGTATGAATGCTTGGTTCATCTATGCAATCTTCTTTTCAAAAAAAAAATCATTTCAAAACTGTACCTGGATTGAATTTCTAAGTTTAATATTTAGATATTGAAAATTTCAATTTTCACATAATGATATTACAATCATTAAAGAATGAAAAATATACTATACTACAATTCCCTTTTCAAAAATTTTCTTAATTTGAATTAAACAGCCACAGTCCATGTATGTTCGTGCATGTCACACGAGAAAATAAAAAATAAACCCAGAATTCAAAATAATTGTTAATTTTACCGGAGTTGATGAAGCCATATCGATAAAGTTGTGACAACATCACTTGTTGGGCGAATAATTGAAAAAGCGCCATCAATAGATGAATAAGCTGTGGCAGCGGTGGTGCATGTTGCCACAGTGATTTGATGCATCGCAAAAATAAGCATCCTCCTGTAATACAGTAAGCAATTATTTCCAAATAATATTAGTTAAGGATTATTCATATTATATTCAGGTTCAATTTAACACTATTAAAGCTAAGCATTTGCAATACCATTTCACATACTTTTCAAAATTTCTCATTTTTAGAATAAAATTTGTAAAAATTCATCAATTACAGCGTAACTACCTCCGTTATATCCATGTGAACTCCGTGTAATTTCAATGATACGATCAATTCGAGCGCCAAGTCGATCATTATCGCCAGCAATATTGCCAGATTTGAATATTCCAAATGCCATAAACAGTAGTAAAGCAGGTATGCATGAAGAATACAGTATAACATAAACGCTTAACCAATGGCTTGGATAGGCACCGTGTGGCCATTTCATTTCCGAATATAATCGGTAACGTTCGAAACCAAGATAAATTAAGTAAGTCTGTAGAAGTACCACTATGACAGTGTACCATATAGACCAAAGTTGGTTTACACGAGCTTTAAATGAACATGACATTATAGATGCTCGTGAATATAATAAGTTTACAAATGAAGCAATAAAGCTTTCAGTTAATAATGATTTTAATCAGTTTTCATTGGTTATTTAATTAGTTTATGCATCACGAAATTTCGTCACTTTTTTCTCGCTCGGTTATGGTACCGAAAAGTAGGCATATCATTTGAATTCTTTGTACAGTTTGAAGTTTTATTTCACTTCATATCCCATAGTATAATTTTTGGAAACAACAAACGATAGTATTTAATATGCGTTAACACCATAAATCAGTTCTGTTCAACAAATAAGTTATATTTGGCTGCTTCAGCAAATTATAATAAATTGTCATTTTTTAAATCGTTCATTCAAATAACAATCTGAAATTTTGTTGATGTATTCAATGCAAATGATCATCAACAATCCAGAAATAAATATTACAATGGTTTTGCAGAAAACGGGATGGAAGGAAAAATAGATAATGGTCAATTATGCCAGCCAATCATTTTAATATCAGTGATATTAATGAATTCGGAGAAGTAAAATTGAAATAAAGTGGTATGTAATAATTGTTTTCCTTTCATAATGACAATAAATGTTTCTTTCAATTTGCATTTTACGCATTTCAGTGAATTTTAAAATTGAATTGATTTGGCACGTTATCAAATAATGTAACCTCCGGTAAAGTTATTATGGTTAAATTAAAAAAAAGAAAATTAAAAAAAGGAACGAAGCGAAAAAAGATGAATAATTTATTGAGATCTGCAAATATTTAATTAAATTGATGAATGGTTGTTGGGACAAAAAAAATGAAACAATAACGAATGTCGATACAGTGGGAAAATGTGAAATTGAAATGCATGCATTGAAACTTGCAGAATAATATGAATGAATAGCGAAAAAGCAAAAGGTAAAGAAACGTATTGGGGAATTTGCAGTTTACAAAGTAACCAACTGCGTATGACGTTCTGCATCGTATATATTTCAGCTGAAACACGGCGGAATGCCAATAAGCATAAATGAAATGAAGGACAGAAAAAGGAAGAAAACATTGAGTGAATTGGTGATAGTGAAGTGACCATAGCTCTGCCCTGCTGCTAACAACATAAGCAGCTTGCCGCATGAGCGATTTAGTGAGGAGGTGATTATAACTGAGGGAGAATAAGGGTCGAGATGTCCGAGAGTAGTAAAAAGAAGGAGTGCACTGAGCTGAGGCTGCTATCAAGGAGGGCAAAGAAGGCAGAAGCGCCTGGTGCTGGAAATCCCTTTGGGTCGACACACCGACCGCCTGTCCCGTTCTATCTACTACTCCTCATCCTCATCCTGCCGTATACATTCTTCTCGTCAACTCTTCTGAATGCATTATATTGAAATTCAACATTGGACACGCGAGCGAGTGCATAATACTTATTGCTACCACTGGCGTTCTTATCATCTGTTCCTCTGGGAATTTGTGATGGTGACGAAATGCCAGCAATCATCACCTATGCGCCATAAATGAGCAACTCTCTTGACCCTCAAAAGCCCTCCTTCCATCGGTCTGTTTCATACACGACAAACGAGATATGATAGTAGTAATCAATGATGACATTAAAACATAAAGTGATGGTCAAGAATGGACGAGATGGATGCATGTTATGTGCAGTGCAGATAATGAATGCCTGTCGCCACTTAATTTCTCGAGCAGTCTTCAGCAAATTTCACTGTAAATTATAAACGAAGTCCTCATTTGCGCAGCTTCTTTATCCATAATAATTGAGCGTAACATCGAACGCAATCACTCTTGACGGTAAACCTATTTATAGTTCAGACTATCTGAATTTAGTCAATTCCTATATATTAGCCCTGACCTTCTTGGACGAAATTTAGTCTTGATATTCTCGCACATAGATGATGCTTTTAGGTCGACTTGCAAAATTGAAGTTTTCGACACTAGTTAAAATATTGAATTATTACCCAACCCTTAACAAACACAATCAGTCCATATCAAGAGTTGGGAAGAAATGATTCAGGTCAGAACTGGCTAAATTTCTAACTTTAAAAAAAGTTTATGTAACATAAATTTGAAATATTCCAATTAATTAACATCCACTACATACTGCTGTAAAAACAGTTATACTTACTGGTTTTTGAAAAAAAAAATAGATTGCAAAAATACATCTATTAAAAAATGGCTCGATGATCCAAACAGAAAGTGAGAAAAGCTAAGTATAAAGACTTGGAAAATTTGATTTTTTATTTACTTACGACATTTGTGGATTAATGAGCTAAAAAGTAAATCGTTCACGAAATGTCCATTGTTGAATTTCGAATGGCACGAATGGCACTTGACTTAATCGTTGGATTGCAGCAAAAAATGAAAGCAAATAGGCAATAAAAAATTTGTAAACAAAAGGATAAACAAGAATTGCCAGCACAGATAAAATCACAAAATGGTGTAATTGTTTTCAATGTTGTATTGATTCCTTTAATTTTGATTATTATATATAGCAACAAAACAAAATGACTGATGCAACTGTCACTCGTTAGCGAAGCGTATCTGTCATAAAACAAATATTTCAATATAAATCCTTTACTCTTCTTTTTCTCTTTTGGCAGACTTGCGCTTTGTGCTACAGCTATCAGAAACAGCTGGCAAATTTGTCTGTCTTTTGCTGAAATTTTTCCACAGCAAGAAAAGCGATAATGAGATATGTATGACTAATGAGTATAATATTTCAGTACTTGAAAATAGTTTACTCATTTTTATATCCGTAATTATTGTTGTTTTATTCAAAATATCCAATATTTTCACTTATTAACAATACCCCTCATCGGCATATAATCTTAAATTTGGATAATCAAATCCCAAAGTCTGCAAATTCAATAACTTGTCTGATCGAGAATGTTCAACTTAACGATAGTCCTCTTGAAAGAAAACTGTCAGACTATCATATTCGCATCGCATCAGCTAAATTTCATTATTAATGAAGCAATACTTTTTTAACATTCAATAATAGGGTCACTATATTTCATTAATGGCAAAATTTTTCTCAATTAATACCTTCACTTTGAGGATCTCTGTTTCATTTCCCTTTCTTTTCTTTTTCTCTTTTCTTCTTTTTTATTAACAACGGTAGTTGAGTGCTCGTTTATACATATTTCTTGATATCAATCATTCCAAATAAATACGCCTTTTAAATATTCAAATGAAAATTGCAAAAAAAGAATGAAGGAGAAAATATCAATCCTATGATGATGGACTCAATTTGATTGCTACTAATATTTACAGTTAGCCTATTCTGTTAAATTCATCATCTATTAGTAGAACAAGCAAAATTTACTCAAAAAAAGTTATCGCTGGTATTAAGTGCTTTTATGCTTTCTAGAACTAAGACTTTTGATATTCCTTTTGGGTATCGATAACATAAGAGAATTGAAGGTAAGACATCCCTGCATATATGTGTAAAAATATATTAAATAAGCTGATTATGAATTTAGAAAAAGAGAAAATGACAGAAAAAAGGGGGAGATGAGAAATACTGTTTGAAGTTTTCACAATGCTACACTACAAATCAATTTTTTTTTTCTAAATATATTTTCAGCAGTTGTACTCAATGATTGAAATTGCTAAGCATATAGAATTATATCGATCAGATTAGAGATGAAACAAATCATTTCTTCTTACATTATGCTGACAAATTGTTTCATGAAACTAACTTCAAATTACTAAAATTTATAGTAAGAAAACCTGAATAATGACAACTACCTGGCAACTTCTCAGTGATGCACAACAAAATGAAGATATATGAGTAAAATTTTTATTTCGTTTTTCCTTTAAAATTTCCGAAATGCAATATAAGTGCCGTTCGTAAAATTTTTACTTTCGTCCTTCAAAAAACAATTAGTTGCAGTTCAATAAATAATACCAATCCAGATAGATGTCAACAAATTTCTTGGAATTACAAATGATTACGTTTCGAACATATTTGTTTCAACTTGAAATCTATCAGGGAAAGAATTAAATAGTAAATAAAGAGATAGCCGATTTCAAGATTTTTAAATTTTTGATCAGAAGAAAATTTCAATTGGACAACAGCAACCTTTTTTAGAATACTGTTAATGCTACAGAATAGAATATATGTATGTTACAAGTGCTTGGACATACAACGCAATTGGATATACATCTATGGACTGTTTAGCAATCTTTCAATGAAGGTTCATCGTGTTATCGATTGACACTAGAATTTTCATTTATATAAAATTTCTATGAACTATGATCTTTATTAGATCACCATTTTCTATACTTCTTAAAGAACCATTTAATCACAATGGAATTTCGTCCTTTTATCAGACTTGAAAAGTGTTACGAGATCCGCCATTTCATCACAACAAATGACCAATTTAGTTAAGAATACTATTCACTGTTATTATCAAGCAATTTTCAATAACCGATAAATTTGCATGTTTACCTGCAAACCTTCCAGCTTAAAATGGTTCAAATACTTTTACGCTATTCAAACAGTTCACAATAAACCCTCAAACATTAAACGCTAAGATTTGAAACACTTCAAAAGAAAATTCAACTATACATCTTACAAATAAATAATTCAATTATAATCTCTTATAAATAAATGCCTACCTAAACTCTTGAACTATGATGGAAGTTTTTTACCATTTCCACTATGCCGTCTCCAGCGAAAGTCATTGTAAACAAATTTCAAAACTCTCAACAGATCTATTATCCACTCCATATCAAAAGTCAATTGAGAAATTTGCAATGTTTCAAATAACAAAAAGGACTGATCACAAATTTTCATTAGTGGAACTTTTCAATACAATTAGAGATCAAAAGTTCAACACTTTTAGACAACAAACATATATAAATAGAATTCCCTAAACTTTGACATAAGAAAATTTGGCGACCTGCGATCTCATCAATACGACACGAAATAACACAAAATATAACGATATAAAAACACCTGAATTTTGCACAGCTTTGACGAAATAAAACAAGGTTGGCATCCTACAATGACAGAACGAAATAAGATAAATAAGAAACAAACTGAATACAATAATATCGCAAAACGGTATTCACAATCTATCCATGATGTATTCAACCTTCCGGTTTTTTTTAATAAATTAAAGATATCATTTGCAGAAAAATATCATCATATAACCAAAAATAAATAAATAATAAAAATCAAACGACGTCGGAACTCAAAAACTTAAGAGATAGATATATAGACCTCAAAAGCCTGAAATGCTGCAGGTGCACTTAAAAAGTGTCAATCATAATTTAAATGAATCATTCAGGCCTTTATGGGATGAATAAATTAACGGCTTAATGAAATTAAAACAAGCTTCATATAAGCAATAGGAAACTATGACACAAACAATCGGAAGAACAAATAAATAATGGCTAAAAAGAAGTCTGAAAGACTTTGTATCTTTGTCATTCCACAGTTCCCATCCATCCCCGAAGACTCAGTCATTTCTTTCGCCGATCGAACCATATGAAATATTACAAAATAAAAAAATAAAAAAATAAATAAATAAATAAAAATAATTGAAAATTATAAATAAATAGGAAATAATTGAAAGTCATAAATAAATAGAAAATAATTAAAAGTCATAAATAAGTAGAAAATAATTGAAATCATAAAATAATATAACATAGAAACATCACAAAAGTAAAAATATAAAATTAAAAGAAAAACAAGTAGACATTAACACTGAAGCAAAACAGATAGGCGATAGCTATATTTTCAGTTTCTCCGTCTATCCATTCTGTTTCAATATTTACACAGGAAAGGATACTAAATGCAAAATTAATTGTCAGCATTGCCTATCAAAGAAAGACTGCAAAAAAATTGCAAGGCAGTTTTTTGACAGCGATTCTGCATAAATAACACTGCGTCATATCCATGAAATGATTCGACCCTGAAAACAATTCACGAAGTCAATTAGCCTCAAGCATTAGCTCTGATGCTTCATTTATTTAATCATTTCAATTTTCGCATTTCGTTAATGAAAAAATAGCATTATATTATATAAACCAACTATTAAATACTTATCTAATTAAGGCATGCTACTTTTACTGAATGCCCAAATTTTTCCCAATAAAGAATTAGTAGCTATAGCTAAACAGAAAAATAGAATTGTGTACGGATTAAATAGAATTTAGCTAACAAAGACTGCCTCATAGAAGGATATATTCGAAATAAATTTATGCTTCTTCTGCTTGGTCAGACAGAAAAGTTGGGCAAGCAAAATCTACCTGTACAGAACCCAGTTAAAAAGTACTCATTTTCGAAATGATGGTAGTAGCGAGTTTTTTGATGAAAGTTTTCGTTTAATTTCATGCCAACTTAAAATTGATAAATAATGATAATGCGTAGTGAAGTTGAGGTGATACAACCATAATTAAGTTTACCGTTTTGTAGAAAGTAAATCTATGAGCAGAAAATTTATTCGGCAAATGATAACCACTTTGGTGGTTGCGTAGCACGAGGTGTTGTCAGATACTTTGAACAATCAGGTTCACGTTGACGGCGACTTGCTGAATGCTGCAAAAAACCAGTACCAGAAATAAAGAAAAAAAAACATTCCATCATACAGATATGACAAATATTATCAGATGAGACAAATAAATGCATCAGCAAGCAGATCTAATTATTTTGCAAACGAAATCACTTACCCTGTTGGGCTCATCTACTGAACAACTACTACTTCGCCTTTCTTTACGAGCAGAATCGTTCATGAATTTTTTAAACATATCCTGAAATACAAAAACATGAAAACCATAAGAGAATAGAAGTTTCATATTAAAATCCTTTTCAAAATCAAACTTCGTTATCGGAATTCGGTTCTAGGGATGACAGACGCGCAACAGATGAACTCCTTAATATTGAAATTTTGGGCCCATGTACTGGTTCTTTCTGCCAAGATGGAGGTTCTCGTTTTGCATTAGAGGCTGCCGCTTCTAATCGTGCACGTGTACTGAAAGCAAATAAAACTCAACTACAAATAATTCCTAGAAACTTTTCTTAGAAATCCTTGAAAATCCGAATAGAATCTGATTAAGATTACACTTACGCGTAGACTACATGACGAACATCTGAGCTTGGGTCGTAATTATCTTTTAGACGCATTGTCAAGTCATAAACTTCGTCTGTATCCAGCGCCTCTTTTTCATGCAAAGCAGTAAGATGGAATACCCACGCATTTTGAAAATTATTTTGCAAGATATCTTGCCGATGCTTTTGAAGAAAAAGTCGCTGAAAACATTCAAACTCTTATAAATATATCAAGCTATGAAAAATAACTTATACAGACAAAAAATTCTAATTAAAAGCATCGAAAATAGGCACTTACGCAAGTGCGATATGTGTGACATAGACCAAGTGGCTTATGATTAAGATTGAGAAGAAAAATACTCCACAATGACATAAAGTCCTTCTCAACACGTGACAAATCAAGAAAATCTTCAATTTGCTAAAAACAAATAATGTTGACTAAAACATTTGTATGCTCATGCATTAGAATATTATTTCTGTAAGTTTCGCATAAAATAGCATAAAAACAAATTGCGACACTTACTCTAATAATAAATTCTCGCAACCATTCCTGATCCGTCTGCTTTGTTGATATCTGCGTACATTTCATTAAAGGATGTCTGCTGCGGAAACCGAAATATGCTCTAGAATTTAAAGTTTAATGAAAATCATAAAGATGGGACACTTTATCAATTCAAGAATTGCATAGATTTTACTAATACCAAATAATATTTAACAAAAAATTAGCACGAATAGCTTACGCATTATTCCCCTTTGTAGCACGTCTTTCTCGGTCAGCTTGCATGAAAAAAATGCTAAGATCTTTTGGCATTTTACGAATAGCTCGTGCTTCAGCTCTGAAACAACGATGAAAATGCGCAGCTTTTCACATGAAAAAAAATTTCGTAAAGATAAAAAAACTAACTTGTGAACAATATAAGTGAGTCGATCACTGGGAATACAATGCTGTGGTATAACTCTATTTCGAGAAGTCGCATACTGCCGAACCAGTGGACCTTCATATGAGCCATCAAAATGCTTGCGCACAAACACATCAATGAAAACTGGTGCACTGTTATTTATGACAGCTGTCTGTCGCGCATCACCCTGCATATGTTTTAATATAAATTAATCCATAGAAATATGAATCATTACTCCAATTCAAAAATGTAATTTTCCTTAAACACTTATGCATACTTTTAAAAGCAAAACGAGAGAAGGTGCCTAAATATATTTCTGAAATACAAAGTATCCAGTAGCCTTATTTTAAAAATTTCTACAAAAAATTTGCAACAAGAACGTACCCTGTACACTATATCAAGACGTGGATAACTTGTTCTCATGTGAAGCAGCAAAGCAAACATATCTGGAAATGTTCCAAGACAGAAGAAACACTTGTTGGCTGGAGACACAAAGCGTGTGACGACTCCATTACCGTCTGGTTCGGGATACCCTTCGTAATGTAGTTCGGGAACTGTAACCTGAAAATAAAATATATAGGATTTTCGGGTATGCAAGCTGAAACATTAGTAACTAAATTCACAAAAACAATGTACTGGAAGGATATCTAAAAACGGTTACTTTATCGTCTGGAGCAACAGATTTCGGCGGCACAATTTTAGAACACTTTTCAAATTTAGATGCTAAACTATCAACCATAGCAGCCAAGGGTTTGTCTCGACGCGGAACATCCAAACGGTATTTATTAGGTGAGGATGGAATTGATTTCGGCAAGGATTTAGGTGAAGTTAGGGGTTTGGAAAATAATCGTCCGTTCAAAACTTTTCCTGGAGAAACTTCTTTCAGCGGAGAACAATGTCCTAAAACTGTTTTACATGTACACGGAATATTGTTTCTTAAGGATGACATAATACATACTCCTCGATTCCAAAAAACAAAAACTGACTTCTAACACCATTTGCAGCAGTTTCAACGCTAGTACTTGAATTCAACAGTTCACTTTTTACCAAATCTGATGAACTTTCGAAACAAAGTAGATGCTTGCTCTCCGGAAAACTAGTATCCGGTTCATCATTGTACCTCGTAATAAAGCGATAACTGAAAAAAAGAAACAGACAAAACACAACTCCATATAACATAAAGATATGACCCATCTATCAAAAACAAAAACATAGTATACCATATTTGCTTAGGAAATTCTAGCGACATTTCTCGCCTGAACCGTGATTTCATGTACTCTTCAAAACCCTGAAAGATAAATGATATAAAATGTACAGCGAAATTTTCCACATGACTAATTTAATCAGGAATAAACGTAAAAAACATTTTTGCTAGAATAAAATGAACTACACTGTCATCTCTTTGAAGTGATGCGAGGCTATGCGTGGATTCCTTTGCAGACATCTCACTGGTCTGACGAGAATGATCAACACAGCTTGTTGAAGCAGATGTGGCAAAACCTAAATTAATTTATCTCTATCTCTTTCAAAAAAAGAAAGATAATTCTGTAAAATAATAGAAAACGATGCCATAAAGATAAACTGTGCCTATACTTGAGCAACTCTTTGTTTCGTCATCATCTTCTGATGAGCTCGATTCCCCACTATTATCCGGCACAATTGACATGCGTACGAATGGACTCATATGCATTTTCTGAAAATCACTTCCATACAAACAGCTAACATCAAAGTTGTTTCCCAATTCTTGCAAGCGATTTATCATTTGATAGTAAAAAAATAAGGAGAATACAGAAAATGTCACCTTCCCTAAATCGATAAGCTTCTTCGTCAAATTTCTTTCCGAACGCCACCTGTCGTTTAAACTAAGAAAAGAATCCGGGCTGAAAAAATTAGAGCGCAGTTTTCATCTCAAGCATATGTCAGCTATCAGTGAAGTAAAATACATGGTACCAAGAGTAAAACTTCTAAAAACAGTGAAAACTAACATCAGAGTAATGCTACCATGGCCATATATTAAACCATTAGATGTTTCGCCTTTTGCAAGAGAAGATATGCAACGTGCACCATACATAGTTATTGAACCTTCACTATTTCTTAACTTATCTGGCGAAGAAAGGCAGCTTATGCGCCGGGTGACCTCAAATAATAAAAAGAATAAAACAATGAAATATGCAGAACTTCGAGTTACTTTAAATACAAGAACTTGCATAGAGTATGTCACAGTTAATTACTCTATCTCAGGAACTCGCTGCACCAAGGCTTAATACTCCTGCTCACAACGACTTGTTCAAAACTTCGATCTATTCTTTGTTTTTGTATAATGACCTTTTTTTTACTGGATTTTACTTTCTTTAAAGTAACAATGAGCTGCACAGAACTGCGACAAATCAAGATGTCATGATGGAAGGATACTCTCTGAAAGTTAACTTATTTCCAGAACTTCGGTACACTTACATGAGCGACATGTTTTGAATCTTTGTCTGTTTGCCTTGATGGAACGCTTCTCAATGATTTACCTCCCAAAATATGGGCGAATTCTTCTCCCGAAAATGTAACACGGATAATTACATAATCATTCCTGTAAAACAAAACATACTATGAATCTAATGATGGTTTCAGATCCTTCAGAAATGATATCGAATAAGGGAATGCACTCAGTACTGTCTTAAATAGCTTCCTTATTCTAAATCACATCATCAGTTCACCGGAAAAACTGTTACCTTTGTCTTCCACTGCAGTGCAGTGGACAGCCAATAGATAATGGCAAATCGATTGCAACAGGTTCACCACGAGTATTTATCTGCATTTGTACTGTCGCAGAAGGAAGTCGCATCTAGATAACTTTACTTCGCATCTCTGTATATCCAAATTTCTCATAACTGACCAGCATAAAAAGTTCCAATTAAAAAAATAAAAAACTACTGGGTAACAAAATAGATGCGCTAAGAAAAATAAAATTTACAATTTCGCTAAACACGCCATCGACTTCGCTTGAAAGATACACAGTAATAACAGCATGTCGATTACCTGTAAATAATCACCATTATTTTTTATTTCACAGATTACAATGAGTTAAAAACCTCTTAAAATGAATTTTTAAAAAACGTACCTGGCAATTCTTTATTCCGAACATCAATAAATTTGATCATTGAGGTAGCATGTGAGCAGTTAACATGTCTTCTCGTTTCCTTTGACAAAGCATCCTTACCATTCCCCCTTTTGCTATCTTCGTCCTGCTTAAGGATACGCACCAAATATGAGACAGCTGCTGAATCTGATTTTGTTTTTGGATTCTGAAACATAATTTTTACGAATCACTAGCATCCAATTCGGATCAGAAAGCAGAAAAAGGGAAATCTAGTAAAGAAGATATGTAGCATATAAAAGTTTGCACATGGGAAGTTGGCACCTTTTTCAGTATTTCATTTCTTCTCCTGATTGCATGGAGTATATCCATGAGATGTTCATGTTTGTGTAACTTCGCCTTCATTCCAGTTTTCCCAACAGTTGGAGAACAAAGGAGAGGCATGCAATCATCTCCTAATACCGACGACTGCTGCAGCAATACAAAAATAGTGAACAAATGAACTGGAATGGAGCGATCTTCCAAAAATAAACTGAGAGTTTTTTGTACTTATATAAGAACCGAAAACAACAACAATAATATCTATCTCAACTTACAGCACATCGCCTCATATATATCAAATTCCTCTTTAAGAAAGGCCTATATACTGGTCTAGTGCTACCGACTTGCGTATCCGGCAATGACATATATCGATAAAGTCGAATAGCCTCTGCAAAAGACAATAAAGATAAATTTCGAATAAGCAATAAAAGTTTACTTTACTGAAGATGCAAATAAGCAGCAGTGATAACGAACTTTTGAAATGTTGTTCCAAATCGGAATCTGATTTCTTTTGAAGTTGTTCTGTTAGCGCATCATTTGCAGTGTTCTGCAATAATGAGGCGAATAATGCAAATTATTTCATACATATAAATGACCTCTGTGACCTCAATTATAATAGGTGTAAGAACTTTCCTAAAATGATGGCAATTTTCATAAATTTTGAAATTTTTGTAAGTCTCAGAATTCATGTAATGCTGCATAAAAATATAGTACCTTAATCATATTATTCTGTTGCATAATTTCTTCAATCTTCGGTACAATATCATCAACAACTATTTCCACATTTTTAATATCATTTTTGTTGTAACATAAACGAGTTCGTTTGGCATTAACAGGTCCTGAGCTACTACTCGCAGTATCATCATCACTATTATCATCTCTACTGCGACGTTCTTTCTTCTCTGAATCCATTGAAATACAGCAATACTGATAAAAAAAAAGATAAAATAGACAAAACCAGTGAAATTTACTCCACAGATATACAAAATATTCTGTTACTTTGTTTTGTCACTCAAATCAAATATGAAAAAGTCAGCTGCTATGAAACTACAAGTTACTTCCTGCGGCAGTAGATGATACTGGTGGAAGAGGAGGTATGACAACAGCTGCTGAGCCCCGCCGCGAACGTACCGGTGCAAAATCAGGTGTGTAACGAGTCTTCTCTGTTGTTATTCCATTGCTTTGTTGTCTAAAAAACATGTTTAAACCTATTTTCTTTCATCTTAAAATATAAACCATGAATTCTTACTACAGCACCAAAACCACAGTGTCTTTTATAATCAATGCACTCAGAAAAGTAAACTTTCTGCTTAGTATTGCTTGCATTAATTAATAGAACAAGGACAACATTTAAACAGTATATCCGCCCTCCTCGCTTATTACAACAAGAATGTGGCATAAATAGTTTTCAGATATCTAATGAAAATAAGACAACTAATAACCTGGTTTTATAGGGCGAAATTGAAGCGTATGTTCTACATCCACTTTGACTACTTTTCAGATTTGGTGCAGCAGTACTCCGAGTCTCCGTTCTACGAGATTCTGTTAGAAAGGAAAATATTGGTTCCTGTTAGTTAAGTTGAGCAATATTTAAATATGATCTTCTCTCCCAATTCTGTCCTCCATTTTACTAAGTTCAGTTGTGCCAATTCAGAAGCATTAGAATAATCACTTTTAAATAGAGATGAAATAGCATAGACATCTTACCAGCTTGACATCGAGTATTCCCCTTTTCAGGGCTCATTGTAGCTCGCTGAATAACTACACATTCAGCGACCAATAGACAGACATACCTGAAACAATTTAGCAGTATCCAGAATGATTCTAATGGCTTAAGATAAACGATCAAAAACAATTACTTAGCTAAAGTTCATACTATACAGCAAAATAATATCAATAAGCATGTAATCTCTGCTTACCAATCACGTCCGCAAACTCTGGTACCACACCTCATGCAACTACTGTTAAATGGTCATTGCGCAACGTACCTCCACGCATTTGCATGCTATGTAATATAATGAAATGGTAAATGCCACCTGCGTTGCGTGCACATTTCGCTTTGGGACCAACGCGCTCGCGTTAAATTTTTGAGCGCGTTCTCCCATCTAATTGTTTAAGAAACACCTCCACTACATCAATATGCATGCTGCATGTCAATGTATAGTGCACGTTACTATGTCTGTATACATATATGTGCATATGTCTTTTTGTAGGGCCAGACGATTGTTTGTCATCCTAAGTTCTTTGTGACCAACAAGATCGCAATTTAATGATTAAAAAGTTTTTAATTTTGACCCGAAAAAAAAAGGGTATTCTAGAGTGACGAGATTCAACAAACATACGATTGAATGATACTAATAAACTAAGCACTTCAAAAAAACTACGTAATTTGTGATGAATGAGGTTAGTACAGGTCATTTTTAGCGAATAAAATTAACAATCTATTGAGTGATGAGAATGAGCGGAAGAAGCTAAGAATAAGCTATCGACAAGGTTTTAACTTTTTTGTTGAATCTTTCCTTCTAAAATTGTACCCGGTTGTCGTTCCAGCTCTCGATGGGAGACTTAGGACATTTATGCATACGATGGCCACCCTGAAGAGATTTTTGAAGGTAATGTTTCATTTATATTCTTTCTCAGGCGTTTACATAAGCATGCCTACCATGGGAACAATCAATTACTTCTTCGTTGGGAACTAGATTACCGCAAGATGTCTTGATCAACGCAATCACTTATTGCTGGTGTTTTAATAATGTTCCATACCATTTCATTGCAAATTCTGTATTGGTAAACTGAGCTAGATTAGGACAAACTGTATGATATAATCTAATAGTTTACTTAATTGGTGCTGAATATATGAAGGTGTGGGATTTATACAAGTACAATTTTTTAATTCCATGCGATTCGTTGTTTGTATTTTTTGACAATTTTAAAGACTAGTCAAATAGCGGATGAGTTGGAATTTGAAGCTTACTCAAAGCTCATTCAATTTCAGTCTTCTATTCGAGGCTTATTCAGTTTCAATCAATCAACGGTATGTCTAAAATTTATTGAAATTCTGTGTAGAAAAATACTGATTGCAATTGCGACATCATCATAATCATTGTAAAGTGGATTTAAATTAAAAGTTAGTATTTCGATTTTCTACGAGTTTTTTACTATTAGGCTTGTATAAAAATAGATAGAAAAATTGGAAGGCAAGATGGTGGAAATAAAACTTTTAATATTGAAAGTAGATTCAGTATGTCAGACTTTTTTCATCTATAAAATTGAATTTATTTTTTTGCTTCGTTAGTTGCATTAAAGTTAGTAGGAAATCTTGGGAAAAATAATATTAATTAAGGGGATGTTTATTTATTTTGTCTCTCTTCGAATTGGCAGAAATGGAAAGTTGAAATAAATTATGAAAAAAGCGGAACGGTGTGCTTAGGGAGCTCCGCCTGCTGTATCTAATATCTTCTAAAGCAGTGTTTGAATTTTCATCATTATTTGGAGCTGAGTATGTCTCTTGCCAGTTTACACCTTCCCTATATAAGCTTCACAAGTTATAAAAGCTTCGCGCCGTGTAATCCACTAGTCATTTCTTGAACGGCGACACTCATATGGTTTGCTATAAGAGAGGAGACGCTTCTCAGTAAGTAACATCTTTGAAAAGTTGCAAAGTCGAGAAGGTAAGCAGGCTTGTCACCTTATACTTCCAGGTGTTTTACGCTCAAAACAAATATTAACTATGTATTTCTCTTCTTTCCTCTCCTTCTCCTTCCCCTTTTTGTTCGGCTCTGCAAACAAAATGAGGCATTTCCATGGTTTCCTTTTCAATATACATACCGCTCCATTCCTTCTGCTTCTCGGTCTTTGAAACGTTTCACAGAGATTAAAACTTATAGATTAAAACAATGCAATAACCGACTCATTTATGAGTCGGTTACTGCATTATTCAAAGTTTTTATTTCTGCTTTTTAATTCTAAAATTGAGATGTTTTATGAGACATTTCGAATGTCATTTTATAATAACAACATACACAACCTGTTTTTTTGACCCTTACTTCTTTCACAACCGCATTTCTAGTGATTTTGTTCTATTACTGCTAGTTAAACCTAAAAGCTTTTTTTTCCGAATGCACAGTTATCTTCAACCTTATAAAATCTGCTTACCAAAAAGCTGTGCGTTATGTTACTGATTTTGAAGATTTAAGGAAAAAATATGCTAAATATTCATACAAAAAACTTATGACATAATCTTTTTATGCTGATTTAAATATTTTTCTCATTACCAGCAAATAATGAATAACTCGAAAAGAAGGAGAAAATAAAATCAACTTATTATTCGTCTTATCTCATTCCAATTCTCAATTTTTTTTCTTGAGGCTATGTCCTTTTGTTTTTGGCTAAGAATTTAACAAACTATTACAATATGGATGCTCGAACTTTTATTAAAAAAATTTTATATGAGAAATTGCTGATGAAAAATTTCAGAACTAGCAAAGGAATTGAAAATATATGAGCGAATTTTCTCTATGCAATTTAATAACATAATAGAATTCTTCAAAAAAATCTCGATAACTGCCCTTGTAAACTCGAATTCTTTGTGTCTGATCTTGTTAGTTCCATATAATAGAAATATTCGAAATCTAATACGAATTCAAAATTAAATTTGCTACAAATTCTGGCAAAAAATTCTTTTTCAGAAAGGTAATTTAAAAATCGGGAAAAAATTTTTTAGAAATTATTTTGAAAAGCAAAATTTAAGGTCGTTGTATTAAAATTTTTCCATAACAAGTTCATGGCAGTTGAATAGTATGAAAGAAAATTTTATCAAAAACGGGAGTGGGAAAAGTATTTCCAGCTACTGTAACGAGAAAAGCTCTGGGTAGAAATAAAACAAAAATAACATTTGCAAAATTTGTTTTGCTATGCATTTAACAAATTTTTCTTTTCTTTAAGATTTGGGGGAGATTTGGCGGTTCCTTTAAGATTTGGGAGATTTCAGATCATTCTTGCCCCTTTTGCTGTCATCACCAAATGCATAAAATCTAATCCAATCTATTACGCAATGCTAAAACAGTTCCTGGTTTCTGAGCACGATAGGATAATGAAAACCTTCTAGCAAGCTCAGAAAATCATTTCATTCAATCTTTCTCAAAGAAAACTATTGACAGTTTGAATCACATATCCTTAACTAATTAACGTAATGGTGTCCCCTACACAGTCTCCAAACTATTCAAATGCCGCGGCTTTTCAAGTCTTTTTAGCATTATATCCCACAAGTTTTATTCTGATTCTGTGGTTGTTACTGTATCCATCGAATTATTTTCAAACCTCTGGCCTGAAAATAATTCGAGGAAAAGAAAAAATAGTGGGAACAAATAATGATAATATTTTTCTCCCTTCAGTCTTCTTTGATGTTTTTCTCTTTTTCTTATTAGTTAGTTTCACATTTTGGTGTGAGAAAAAAGGAGTTAGCTGTAGTAAATTCTGCTAAGGACTAGACAGGAATCAATTTAATTGCATTATTTATGCAAACATCGATTTTTACAGTTGCAAAAATTGATAATATTTTAGTAGTTAGCAAAAGTAGGAAAAATAGAAGTAGAAAGAGATAAACTAGATGATTCTTAACTAACAGCAGTTCAAGTAATTAAATCCGAAGGAATTATTAGCAATTAGATATAAAAGCCTGACTTATGCGAGCAAAGCATAGAGTATGTAAAGTCGTTTATGGTGACAGAAATTAAATATACACTTTAATAAATAATAATGTCATCTTTCCTGCAAGATATGAAAACGGAAGAGACACGATTCCGCCTCGTTGTGTTGGGTCCTGGAAAGGTGGGGAAAACATCAATAATTCGACGCTATCTTCATGGAACTTTCGATGAAAGATACAAAGAAACCGTTGAGGATCTTTATTCGAAAGATTTCAATATACAGGTCTTTGCTACTTTAATTAGCACTTGTTTGATGGAGCTTCTATTGTCCCAGTAATTTCCTGGATTTTATTTTTATATTTCATTTTTTCGAATAGTGAAAATCATTATGTTGAAATAGGGAATGGAAATATCACTGGAAATTCTGGATACAAATTTCAACTATCCAGGCATGCGCAAAATTGCAATAGCATCTGCCAGTGCATTTATGCTTGTTTTTGCTGTCAATGATGTGATTAGTTTCAAGCAGGTTCTTATGATTTCAATTGAAATTTACCATATCCTATGCACTGTGAGGAATTTTATACAAAAAAAAGATCTGAAAAGTTTTTTTTCCTATTCAGAAATTTCCAAAATCATAAATTCAGGTGAGTGACATATGGTCACAGATTGTGCAGCAACGAAAAGATGCTCGAACCCTTCCAACTGTTGTTGTTGGGAACAAATGCGATTCATCTTCTCAAAAAGTACTTAAATTGATGACATCAATCAGAATACTATGTTTCCAAGATATTTTCAGTAACTGAAAGAAAATTCCTAACATCAGTTCAGTGAGGTTCAGATTTCTGAAGAAGGCGATTTAGATCTTTGATGCAACAGTTCAAGCATGGATGCGACATTTAAATTTTAATATAAGTTATGTCGAATCCTCTGCAAAGATGAACTATAATATAGTGAAAATATTCCGAAATTTTCTAGAACAAAGTGATTTATTGGATGAAGAGGTAAGTTATAGATTTTCTTTTATTAAAATACTTTTGATATATGTGATTTAGAACATTTCAACATGTTGCTTATGGATTTCAGTATTTTCTTATGCTCAACTGTTGAATGATATACAAATATAGGTGTGGTCGCTCATTTGTTTACTCTATGCTTATTTCTAATCTCGTAAAACAATTAAGCATCTTTCTGAAATGCATTCTATTAATTCGATCGATTTCCAACAAAATCCTATCTTTCTCTCGCTTTTATGTTCTCCCTTTCTCCTGTGTTCTCTCCCTTCTCTCCCCTTCGATGTATTAAAATCGCAATTTGCAAATGATGAACATTTGCAGAAATTTTTTCAGAAATGGGTAAAACAGAAATTACGACCTGGTGAAATCTCGCCATCAAAGAAGCTTAATCGAAACTGGTCATTACGGGTAAGTACTAATTGCTTCATTATATGACCGAATACGGTAAGTGCTAAGAACAATTTCCACCTTTTTTTGGAATGCAAGCATAAGTCTTGAAGCAATTTTATCTTGAAAGTTTCAAGTAATACTTATTGAAAATCGAGTGGAAAAAAATTTGCTCCAGGCGAAAAAGATAGGGCGATGTGCGCCTTATTCTTCCAAAAAGCCCTTCGTCTGAGCTAATCTGTGCTGGGATTTTTAATAAATTGTGAATTGTCCACTCACAAAAACCATTCAAACATTAAATAATTGTTTCTCAGTTTGCAAATTTTGTTCCTCGTTATCAAACATTGTCTTTTTCAAAATGTAGTATACCTTCCACATTCGCTGCCATTTTTAAACAAATTTTTCAAATTCTGGCAAAAACCAGTGTAGAAATATATAAGCAGTTTAATTGTGGTCTGTGAAGTTGAATATCGCTTGAATTGATACTCAACTTGAAACTTAGACAAGAAAACTCATTGCATGATAATGATAATTATAGGTTACCAATGCTAAAGATAGCGGTTCAAAGGATCTCAATCAGTCGGGCAGTCTTCTACGACGCTCGAAGCACCTGTCATTAAGAATGAAATGCCATGAAAAGGAAGAATCATTAGGTCTGTCAGATGAAAGTGACTGTAAGATATCATAGCTAGAAGTGCTTCTTCTCCGGATTATTGTAAATATAGTCTGATGTTTATGTAAATTCCTCTTAATTATCTAGATCTATCGAAATGCAGTAATTCTGATTGTACTGCCTTATTTACATCTTCGCAATAAAGTGAAATATAAGCAGTCAATAAAGTGAAAAATAAGCAGTTTAAAAAGAATAACTGTAATGTAATACAGTGATTTCCGCAGAACGAATTTCTTTTTTCTGTCATTGTTTGAGTGATGATTTTCTATCGTAGGACAAATATTCCTCTCATAAAAATTTGTTAAGTCTTTCTCAAAATTTAGACTGAATCGACTTTTTCTAATCATCTCTTTGTAATTATCTTTGTAATTATTTTGTAATCATCTCTTTGTAATTATTCTGTTAATGCTGTTAATAGTAATACAAAGATCAAAAGGCTTTTTAACATATCTATTTCTACTAGAACTGTGCCTATCTACAAACTACTCAAATATTTTTCGCTCCATTTCAAATGTTACATATGATAACAAGAAGGATTAAAAATGCAAATGAGGCGGTTGTTGGAATTATCTAGTAAATTTTGCTTAGTTCAAACTATTTGCAATTTCCCAATGGTATGTGTATATACGGCGGTATAAATAAATACATTTTGGTATTCCAAAATTTAACCGTCCGTTAGACAAACAAACATATACATACGGGATCCCTTTTCACATTCTCTGTTCATATTTCAAGAAAATTTATTTTCCTTCTGTATACCAATTTTCAAGTACCGAGCAAGACTTCTTTGATCTGTTATGAAAGTGCAACATCTCCATTTCTATTTATTTGCAAAACTGTCAAACTGCGAAGAACTTAGCCATGCAAATTAATCTGGACATCAAAATTATTATGGTCAGGTAGTTGTGATAAGACGTTCGTCAAGAAACGATAAACAAATTGCAAAAAAGTAGACGGAATATTGGTCCATTCAGATCAGATAAACCGAAAGTATTGGATAAACAAATGTAGGTACATTTTATCCAAGCGAAAATTCGAATGATGCAAGTGGTAAAAAGTATGGAAACATTGAAAAATTCTTAAATTGTTCCTCCTTTGATTAATTAGAGATATTTGAAGAGCATGATTTAAGAATTTGAAACATGTGTTCTGCGACAACCGGTTTTGTTGCATGAAATTAATTTAAGTCACCCTCATATGTAGGAATTCAGTCAGAAAACATATAGTCATTTCAACAAAAACTTTCAATAATAGTAGAAAAAAATTTGCACACATTTATTTCGAAGTAAGCCATTTTTGAAGATTTTTTTTTCATTGTGATATTGACGAATAGTTGAATGGATTTACATAATTGGATTTATTAATGCTGTCAGAAATATAAATTTGTCATTTTTCAACTGAGTCAAAGTAATGGTATGTATCGTAAAGAATTAAACTGACAAGTTACTTGAAAAAGATAACATATCAATGAATAAAACAAGTTGCAGTAAACTGTTGTTAATGGTTGAGTTTTTTTTTGTTAATATCAGACAGTATAATTGATCATGTCATATTAGTGAGAAGAAAAATTTCCTGCTGTAGGTGACAATTCGTTTCTTAAACAGTCTCATGCGGTACGCGAATAGAGGAGAGGGGGAATTAATGATCTTTTTTTTTGTGGTGTCTTTCGTAGCAGTATTTAGAATGATGGATCTCAAGGGTGATAATCGGAGGAGGGTATGGATGAATAGAGTATTGATATTACTACTGTGTTGGTATGTGTTGAGTGCTGCATGATGATGGAAAGAAATGTTTCATTGTAAGGTCATCATTGCATGCTCTCTTGCATTCGATCAAACCCGCGTCATCTTAGTGCACATAAATAACATAGATAACCTCCATGCAGACTCTTCAATCTAAAATAGCAACTGAACGGAAAGATATTATTATGCAAGGTAATGTCTCTATTTGCATGGAAAAAGAACATTGTTTCGTCTATGTAAATAACAATAATAGCATTGAGATGATCCATAAAAGCACAGTAATCAACTGTTACAGTGTTGTCTCAGGTTGATGTCACATGTTCTCAAGTTTTTCTTGACATGAATCTTCCTAGCAACAATTATAGGATGCGTGACATAGTGCTAACTAATTGGCTGATACCTGTAAGCGATAAATGAGCTTATCTTACCTGTCGCTTGCAGGAATGCGAGTGTTGTGCCTCTATGTATGCAGGTACATGTGCATGTCAATCGCTCTGTGCATTGCTGTAATTTGCTGTGTGCCCCTCGCCTCCGCAACCGTAGCAGCGACGGAGACAGCGACCACGACGACAACGAAGGAGGAGGACAGTGCGGAGTTGCTGCGCACCATCATCTCGTCTCATCACACATACATACATCTTGTTTAAGGGCTGTCACCGTGTGCGGTCATGTGGTCCTCGCCCTTACTACTGTCCCTCACAAGCGTTTTTGGCCTACTAGGTCTGGCGTTGATCACATTGGCTTTGGCCACTGACTCATGGACCGACTATCAGGTATTCCATTATATTATAGTATCATTTTTCATTGATCCAATCTGTTTTACTACTAAAAATTAATTCATAGTGACAGTGACCTTCGTCTCCAATTCTTTAGTGCATCTCTTCTAACATTATTGAATGACTTACTACTATTTGTGTGTTTAATGAATTGTTAAGGCTAAGGATTGCAATAAGAATAGCATCTAATTAACACTAACACAATAATTAATAGCAAAGATAATGTAAGCTATTACAGTGATCTGAAGGAACGCATTTCAAATGAATTTTTTTAAAGAACTTAGTAACGAACAAATTTGTTTCAATCTGACTCAACATATATCTAACTTAACACTTCATTACCATATTTCTGCCACATCTTTGTCTAATTTAATCCATGACTGTAAGATTCTTACCGGAATAACAATCATTTATGGTTATTTTCATATATATATATATATATCACATTATTCATCATTTATTCTCATCCATTAAGGCTAATTCTTATTACTATTAAATTCATCATTGCTTTGAACTTTATGCTTAGTTGAAAGATTATTTATTCAAATTCGGAGGAAATCAACACTCACAACTAATTAATGAATTAGAGAAAATTTCTTGTATATTTCAAAATTTGAAGTTGTATCTTGCATTCATTGGAAGCTGAAATTAAAATTCAGAATTTTTTTCTGGATTAGTTCTGAAAATCAAACTATCCATTTTACAGCCTGATCGTGATGTCTTGTAGAACGCACTTTATTTAATCGATTTAAAACATCAATGAGTAATTCACTCATATGTCAAAACGGCTAAACATGAGTTCGCTGTTTGCTAAAAAACTATGTTTCGTTTGTCAGAGACTACAATTTAAAATAAATTGCTAACAACTTCTTCACTTTTTTCTCCTTACATCAGATAAAGGTAACGAGGAGAAATTTTCTTCCAACTGAAAATGTTTAATGAAAAATTTTGTTGCCTTTATTTCTACCTCCTCGAAACAGTTGACCATTCATTCTTTGATGTCACTCTTTTGTGGATGTTATCAACAAATCATCATACTGTACTATGTATGGAAATAAAAATCATTAACTGATTCATTTTTTTTTCGTACAGCAATTAAATTCTGCAGCATTCAAAAATCTTACAATTAATTTTCCAAATAGTTCATTGTTGAAAAATTTGTCGGCTTTTGATAAAATATCGCACAAAGAAAAAAAAATTCAATACATTGAAGTTCTGTTCGTTTCTCTGCTATGATTTTATCCAAAATCTTCAGTAATCTTAATGGTGACAAATTCCACGTCAAATTTTAGAATATTCAAAATTTTCAAAATATCATACCAAAATTAGTAAATTTTGTCTTTGTAGAAACTGACATGTCCAGCAACAAATTTTATTTTTGTTCAATCAATACTGAGCATTAATATGTTTGGATGTTGAATATAGATGTTTTATAAAATTACTGTTAATTTTTAAAATGTTGCGTAACAATAATGCTGCTTATGAAATATCAATTTATTAGAACTTTGCCTTGAAAATAGACATTAATTAGTAGTACAAAAAATTTCCGGAAGCAAATTTGTTTATTCATTATAATTTTATGATCTGTTATAGATTATTTATCATTACTTCTACTGTGAAATGATTCATTAAAAAAATGTTATCTTTACATAATATTTGAAAGTATCGTCTGGAGTTTAAATTCCTAAGCACTTTAGCCATCTTTTCTGTACACTAAATTTTTATTTGTTTGATGATTTATTTTTCTTTTAAAAAAGTCTTTAAAACTCCTGTTAAATTTCTACTAAAAACTTAAATTAAAATTTCTATATTAACGCAAACAACGTTTGATTTATATTCGAAATGAACACTTCAAATAAAATGATTGGAAAAAAAGATTTCTAACGAAATCTTAAAAAGGATTTTTTGAGAAGTGGGCGACCAATCAATAATAATTACTTAAAATGAAAAACAATTTTTGAAAGGATCCAACTAAAACGCATTCAAGAGAGCAGGAGAATTTTTTTTAATTTTGGACTAATTTTTATGTGTATGCAAATTGTGTCTTCTATTCAGGTTATATGTGTTTGCAAAAATCTGTGACAACAAAAATATTATGCGAGATGGTGTAGTTTTTTTTTTTTTTGTAGAAGATTATGAAACATAGAAATCGGTATCTTTTATATTGTGAGGTTAAGAGGTTAAGATCTGATGATAAGCACTGAATTAAGAAGATTGAAGTTTATTATTTATTTATATTCATAGCTAATTAATGTAAAGTTTAAAATAAGTTAGAGAATTTATCTATCATGTTTTAGGTAAATCGACGAGAAATAATCAATGCTATGAATCGAAATACGGAATTAAATGTTCGTTTAAAAGATAATGTTGTAAGGAATCCGTTGTACTTTTCACGCAGTTACGGTCTCTTTCTTGTGTGTTTTTCGGATGCTGTGCCCTCAGGTAATGATGGATTTATTTAATTTATGATTTATGCATGCTTCATTAAGAAAATGTAACCCACTAAACTTTCTATTTTTAACGATGACATTTTATAATTAGCTATGCTAATAATAAAGACTGAGATTTTATCTTTTCATGTGCAATTTTAGTTGGTAATAACTCATACTGATATTCTTATGGTTGAAGGTAAACTTTAAATTATTTATTTTTGTTACCAATTTTTGGTTGGTTAATTGTTTAGAATTTAGAGATTTCGCAAAAATGTATCTTGGCGAAAATTTATTTATAAGCTTGTAAATTGAAATGACCGGTAGCGGTATTTTTTTTTAAATTTTGAGCTGAAGAAGTATTTTAACATTATTATCTTGTTTATATTTTATAAATATGAATGAATTCATAACATATCAGGAGATTTTATAGCACTAATTAGAATTTTGCAAAAGAAAATAGATTACACTTTAAGTAAAGATATCACAGTTTTATTTTGATAGAAATATAATTTCGAATGGACTGCACCAATAGACAAAAAGGAAGATGAATGAAAAAAATAAATTTAATATAAATGGAATAATTTGAAATTTAAATCTAAATTAAAATTTTAAAACTTAAAAATCTGCTCAGATATTGGAAGCTTTTCCAAATTTGGTTCACCATGCATCTGGAACGACGACTATCATCCATCCGATGCAGCATATGAAAAATACGATAGCTTACAAACATACCGTTATTATGCCATGTGGGGTGCTGCAATATTATATCTTTTGGGTTTGGTTGTATTCATTATTTGTTCAATATTTGGTATGGTTGGTTGTTGGCGACGAAGCACAAAAATAGTTCTTACGACTGCATTACTTATGCTTTTTTCAGGTAACATTCATAATTCTTCCCTTTTTTTTTGAATTTATGAAATTTTTACAATCAACTATATATTGCTCATTGCAGTAATTACAACTTGATTTCTTCTATATTTTCATTGTAGAGTAATTTCTTTATATTATATCCATTATAGCAAGCTAAATATTTTTAATTTTTAAAAATGGTTTAAGATTTCATTTCTAATTGGCCATCTGTAAATATTGACTTATATTAAATGTGGTAGCTTAAGTTCTTTATTGTCTCACATTAATTACTTTTCGGACATTATTGTTAGGCTCAATGGGTTAATTTATATTCAAAGTGGATTAGTTCTTTTCTATAAAACATATTCACATAACTGTTAGTTATTAGTACTACACGTAGCTCAATATCTCTCCGATTTTACTAGCTGTGACTGGAGCGTAACGCATCTATTGAATGCTAATAGTTATATCGGAAGTAAATCTCATTTCATGGCTTGGCCACCCTACTTCATACCGCGATGAAATATCCAGATGGAATGTCCGAGAATTTCAACCTAAAACAACGCCTTGAATGTTGTCGTTTAACCATTACAAGGGCTTTGCATTAAAAAAATTCCAGTTTCGGAATTTTAATGACCAAACGTGACTAAATTTTCTGGGATGGCGAGTATTAAATTGACCTAAATATAAAGTGCATCGCCTTCCACTTTCCACTCAGCATCAATCACATTTGAACCTAATCACTCTAATGAATAACAGAACCAACTTTTTACACAACCATCATTACAAATACACAAGTCAATAGTTATGATACAGCGGAATGCAAATGTTTAACAAGTTTGATTAGTTTAAGTAGAAAATCGATTTCGTATCAATGAT